GTTTTCTGCTGCAAAAAAATGAATGAGTTTACAAGATGAAGAAGAAAAAGAGGTAAACATTTATTTGCCCGGTAACTTTATACGACTATACTTAAATGACTACTATATGCATTTATTAGGCCTAGTAACGCTCATTACTGCACCCTACAACATGAAAATCCTTAGATTCCAGCGTTTACTTTTAGTTTTCTTAATCCTTAGTTTAGTTTTTGGTTTATTATTTAGTTTTTTTAGTTTAACGCTTTTTATAGTTTTAGTTTTTTAACTTTTAACCTAATTTTTTAAGCAACATGCCGTTGCTCTTAGGCTTATCATGCTGCAATATCTGTCCAAAGGCATTAGAAGCAATTGTGAGTTTTAAACTACTGGGGAAAGTCTATCCTTTGTAGTTTTACTCTTATCTTCACATTTCAATATTGAGTCGGTACAGGCGCATGTCCAATTCGCGGATACTTTTGCGCAGCCCTTTTTTTCTTATTAGTTGTATTTCTTATTTCAATTATCGCGCACCAAGCATTAGGTTATTTAAATTATTATTGCTATTGTTTTCTGCTTTTGTACGTTCTATTTTTTAATTTATTTTTTTTCTTTTCGCTGATATGACCCACCCATAGAACACCCACTGCTACGGGTTCCGTAAGACAGAATCCTCGGGATAGGGATATGTAAGTTCGCCGGCCAACTTTACTTTGCCGCAAAATGAGATGCGATCAGCGGAACGAGGTCTTAATGGGCCTCATTTCGGTTTCTGACTTGAAACCCTCATCAGAAAAACAACGCGCTAGGGACACAAGAAGCGCGGCATTTGTGAGAAGTATTATTTGTATTTTTGGAGTTCGCCACCCGAAAAAATTCCTCAAAATTGAGTGTGGCTATCTGAAAATATGTGAATTACCCTGTGATGAAGTCCAGGAAACGTTTTGAATTCTACCTCTTGCAACAAAAAATCACAACTATTGCTTCTAGTGCACTGATCTTATCAACTCATTTGCCTGATCCTTTCCTCTCTCTCTCTCTTGCCCACGCATCCAGCTGCTGACTGTTCGTTGTCGACTGCG